AGGGTTAAGTGCTGAACAAAGTGCGTTCCCCACCGGCCCTAGACCCTTCTTAGGATTATTGTGTTGTTGTAAATAGGTCAGTTCAACAACTGAACGAGATGCCATACGCAAGTGGTCATCATCTAAAGAGAAGACAGTTGCCTTTGGAACATAAAGCAGGTCCCGATTTATGGCCGCAGTTTCAGCTTCAAGCTCTGTAATTAGAGTAGTTGCTCTATTAGCTGAGCGGGACCAGCCCGTGCTCGAGTAGTCATGCGCTGCGCGGGGGTCTTTAGAACCCCCAAGAGCACTCCAGAGGTCATGATATCTGTCAGCCGACAATCCCATTTGAAAGAAGTGGCCACTTTCCAAAGGGTCGCACACAGTTCGAGGGGACTCATTATATGAAGCACAGAGGATGTGCAGAATAAGCATACCCAGTATCTCCTTCTTCGTGGTCCCTGCTTTTCTTCTCTGGTGCAACACACGGTTCGCTACGTATCGTAGCTTCTCTAGCAAACACTCCGTAACAAACGTGCGTAAGCAGGCTAGAGGAGTAAGTAACTGCCTGGCATCACATTCGTCCTCAGTCGTACCGACTCTACTTGTTATATCGCTTATAACTCGTTCCAGTGCAGTATTGGCCTCTTCGACGAAACGACGCTCCAGACTGTTATTCACGTTATCTATCTGGACAGAAACATCAGCGAAAGGACTGTCATAGTTCCATCCTTCTAGGCCACCACTTCTCTGCGCACGTGCGCGCTCCTCCAACTCTTCAGCAGAGAAGGGTGTAAACAAATCTCTTGCCTGTGTCGTTTCGATGTCCTCCCAGTGCTCCCTGAAATATCTTTCGTCGTCAAAGTCATAGTAAAGCCTGCTATAGAGGTCTTCGCTAAGGGTAGCACCTGTGTCCGTCTGCTGCATCTGGGACGTCAGGTATGAACCAGGGTGCAAAGATCGCACCTCGGTCTCTGTGACTTCAGTGTCAACTTCTCCTACAGCTTGAACCTCGCAAGACGAAGTAGATGAATATGACAATTGCAACTCCTGTGAAAAGGGTTCGTCACTGTCGTCCAGAGAGTCTGCCTCCTCCAACAACTGTTCAATTTCAGCGTTCAAAGGGCTGTTCGTCTGTAAGCCGAAAGACGAGGAATGAATAGCAACACCGCTGTTGAGCTGGTTCGATGGAGCTGTATTTCTGACAGAGGGTGGGGAGAATTCTTCTTCGTAAAAGAAGTCTGGGGACGTCTGAAGGGAAGAAAGGGTAGCTGGTGGTGGGTTGTTGCGGAGCTCAGTCTGTGTCAACGGAAGCGTGGGATCATAATCTTGCTCTGATATAGGCTGACGTTCGGCATACTCAGCTCTAGATCCCAACCCCTCTCTCAGAGGCGTACTATTAAATTTGCCACTTTTTGGGGGTTCAGCAAGAGGGGAAGCATTGTAGCTGTCATCAGCGGATACCAGCTGATTGGAGGCGTTATCTCCGGGGGGTTGGAACCTTTCAGCCATCAGCTTACCCGCAATGTCCTCTGAAATATGGTGCTTAGTGTGGCAGTTGCGAACACGAAGGGAAGGGGAAGTGTCTCTGGAAACTAGCCGTAGATGGCTGGAAAGGGAGATTTTTTGTGTGACGTTGTTCAGTTTGTTTGCCGTTTGAGATGGAGAGCCTTTTATATGTGATCTTTGTGATGCCCTCACACAACTCACACAAAACCATCACAAAATTCACACTGTCAGTGTGAGAGTTTTGATTTTAAGGTTGACGTTTGAGAGTTTTGAGATGCGTCTCACAAAATCATCACAAAAGATTCACAAAAAATGTGTGATGTTTGAGACGATTTTTGTGATGATCACAAAACGTTCACAAAAAGTGCTACAACTCAACAAATATTCACAAACCATGTGTGACGATTGAGACGATGGAGTGAGACGAATGAGACGACGGCGGCGAAAAGAGCAAAACTCTCACAAATCGTCACACAAATCGTCTCACTTTTTGTGACGCCCTAAATCGTCACAAACCGGAGCACAGGGGTATGGAAGCAAACGTGGGAAAAGATCAATTCTCGGGATTAAATACTTTCCGGTTTTGGTGCATAGCATTGGCGGTTTCTGCATCCAAAAGATAAATTTCGGTTTGTTTTTTGCGGTCTTTTGCAGCATGTGTGGTAGCGAACCGCGAAACTCATTATAATCTTGCTCATACTGCACTGTGCAGCACCTACTGCTTGTGCATGTCGGCCATGCAGGAATTTCATGGAAAGACACAATCATATGCAGAGTCGACAATTCGTGAAACTGCATCTTGAGTCGATATTCATGATATCAGATGCTGTACACCACGCTCCTTCCACGAAGAGAAACAACGACCATTCTTTAAGGAGGGTGTGGCTCATACAATATCGCGCTTCAAAAAGGGTATTCATTGTAATCTCTCCTGTTATCATGAAAATGTTAGCATCGCTATGTTAGCATTGCTATAGATCTAACTGTATCTTATCGCCATTGTGTATGGCGATTTTTTAATCCGACGAGTATCTCATCGAGAAGGGATGACGCGTGCGAGAAATGACTGTAGCAGTCTATCTGTGGACCAGTTTGATTCGTGCTAGCGAGAATATTGCGAATGCCTCCAAGGAATTGCTGCTGTCAATTTGTAGAACCGCTGCATATGCATCCAGCTACTAGCTTCCTAGCGTACACATAGAGACAGAGATATATTTACTTTTTTGCAATGTGGCACGGAATGCGGATTGGGCTTGGCCTACCGTACTGCTATGCATAGCGTGACTAAAAGGTCCTGGGACAGACGCCGAAGTATATATAAACAAGAGTGCCCAATGTTAAATGAAGTCTCTAGGGTGAAAGAAAAAGACAAAAAAGGCAGAAGAACCAGATTACGCTGCTTCTCCACACCGCACATTTTGGTAAAATGTACATGTCATTCCGCAGTCTCATCGTCTTCATACTTGCCTTCGCAGCAACAAGTATACAGTCGGCGCAAGGTTGTCGATGCGTTCTTCCCACTATTGAAAGATCTTACCATCAGGACAGCACCAAGCATTTTGTACTGGCACTTGTCCTTCGTCAAACAACTCGACCAAGCAATTTCAATACCTATGAGCTACGAATCCTCATAAATTTCAAAGGCTGTCCCCGGACTGGCACCGTGATTGTGCGCACTCCTTCAAGCTCTGCCGAATGCGGTGTTCAATTCAGATTGAGGACATTCTACGTGCTGCCTTTGACAGATGAAGAACAGCCAACGGTTACTTCTTGTGATGTACGTCCAAGACTAAATCTGTCATCTTGTTCAATAACATTTTTTTTACTTTTTCCTCTGTTTCTAACATAGTTTCACACGTTTTACGATTCTCTTTTCCGTTCTTGAAATGGGTTGAGCAGTTTGTCCGCACATATGGTAGCCTGACACGACAAGAAAAGAAATTCTTGCGAACGAGGCCAATTTGCTGCGGGCGATGCGCATGCCAAAAGAGTAATCCACAAGTGAACTGCTTAGTCGATCCTTGTGACCCACCCGAGTCCCCTCCATGTGACATTCCGGGTGCGAGATGTGAAAGCAATTATTGTGGCGGTTGTTTCGCAGAATGGTTTATTCCTGGCCGGATTCCGGTTTGTCGAAATACGTTGATTAAGATTTAATCAAGCAGTGCCCTGTAGTCTGCCAATGGAACACCGTTTGGGGATGATGTGACCGTGTGATTTTCACAAAAGGTATCGAAGAGTAGCTTCGCGAATGGGTGTCCATCCGTTAGATATACAACATATCTTTGCAAAACAGAGAAATCCTCCTATGTGACCTTAACATTTCTGGTGAGAAGTAGAAACCTGCAAATGAGTATGGATTGATACGATTAAAAATGTGCTTGGAACTGTCGATTCCTGTTTTCTATAAACACTTGAGATGACTTAAACATCACGTTAAAAACATGCAAATACTTTTCTTGCGCGCAATACCGTATTGTTGCTCACAAGCACACGTGGTAAGTGGTGCCTGCTTTGGCACTGGGCGGCAGTCGAGGCCAAGAGAGAAGGGGCATGGGGTGGTGGTTGCGTGGGCCAGGGGCGGGGATTGGGCTCGGAGAGAGACGGAACGAAATGGCGGGGTTTCGAGAAGGGAAGAGGGGTGCGAAGGGGGTAATTGAGAGGGCCAGCAAGAGGCGCGAAGGGGTGAGGCGGAACGCTAAAGACAGAGCCCCGGGCGCTAGAAGGCGCAGTGGCGCGGGTAGGATAAGTAGTATAAGGGAAGGAACCGGGCGAGAAAGAAGAGGGAGAGGGAGACATCAGGTGGATTCCTGAGGAGTCCAGTGGTTTAACAGTGCTCAATCTATCAGGCACAACAGTAGGGTACAGCATCATTTTAGTGAAATGCATGTTTTGAAAATGCAAGCACAATCATGGCATTGCTTGGTCGAGTGCACTGTTTCGTCAAGTTGCTTGATGAAGCATTTGTGCAGCATTTGTGCTTCATCAAGCGACTCGAACCAGCAATTTCAATACTTATGAGCTACGAATCATCTCAAATTTCAAATCGTAATCTACCAAATGGCCGGACCGGGAAGGGCCCCACATGATCTTTGAGAGCGCACTTGCCGCACCCTAAAAGAGTGCGGCAAGTGCGCTCTCAAAACGTACGCTTGTGCCTTTCCCTGCTCTCCCGAAAGCAACCCTGGACGTACGCCGGCTGATGTGGGGTGTATCGAACAAGATTGTGTAGATGAAGCGGAGAAGGGGTCAGTGGTTGCGCATCGCATGATGTACTGTACGGGGGACATGTCGATCTCCGGGAACCGTATGCTGGGAACCGTATGCTGGGAACCGTATGCTGGCATACGGTTCCCGGAGATCGACCTGCAAAATGGCACCAGTTCTGCAGAGATACGAATGCAGCGAATGGCGTTGCAGGCCCTAACTGTAAGAACATGGATGTGGGCCCTTTCCTTACTGTAGGATCGGCGATGCACGGATTCAATTCAAAGTGCAAGTGCTGAGCTGAGATGTGCCCACATAGCATCGCTGGGGAGCATCCATTGGCTGCTCCGTGTCCCATGCGGCCTAACCATATTTCGCAGCACCGTAATCCTTCAGTCTCAAAGCCCAAAGCCGTGGTCTTCCCAATCGCACTACCATTCCTGGCCCTGCGCCAAGCGGCAAAGAGGCATCCGCCTGAACACACGAAAGCTAACTTCACGAGGCGGCACCGACCCGTACCCGACAACACCATCCCAGTATGCGTCCCACTCTCGCCCTCCTCCTCACGGCCCTCCTTCTGCTATCCTCCGGCAGCGCCGCATGCAGGTGTGCGGGCCCGCCGACGGTGGAGAAGAGCTACCACAGCGAGGACACTGCGCACTTTGTGCGCGCGCGCGTCCTCTCCAAGCGCGACCCGCCGTCGCGCTTTGCAGAACCGCGCTACACGCTGCGCATCCAGGCCAACTATAAGGGGTGCCCGCGGCGCGGGCGGGTGGTGGTGCGGACGCGCATCGGGTCCGCGGCGTGCGGGGTGGTGCTGACCGTCGGCCGGTCGTACGTCCTGCCGCTGAACGCGGCGCCGCGCCCATTCATCACCTCGTGCCTGTTCATCCGCCGCGTCGCCTCGCTCACGCCGCAGGAGCGCGGCTTTCTCCGCACGCGCGAGCGCTGCTGCCGCGGCAGGTGCAAGTGCCCGCGCTCCGCACCCCGCGTCAACTGCTTCCGCGACCCGTGCAGCCCGCCCGAGACGTGCGCGGTGGAGGGCGCGACGTGCCGCAGCAACTACTGCGGCGGGTGCTTCGCCGAGTGGTTTGGCGGCGACGGGAGGCCGGTTTGCCGAGCGGGCGGGCTCTCGAGTTAGGTGGTTTGGTGGAGGTACCGGTACCCTTAGGGTAGTGCGCTGCTACAGTACGACCATGTGCCCAAGGGTACTGTGCTAGCCAATGCATGCTGGCGGAGCATAGAGACTGAAAGCAAGTGTTGGCAGGGGGCGTAGAGATGGGCGGTAGTTTATTTTTTCGGATGCGTTGTGAAAACGTATTCAAACGCCTTCTTGCTGTATGGTCGCACAGATCTCAGGTGGGCAGGTGGCAACTGTGTCGTTCAGAAGAGAAAACAAACAAAAGCGGATATCGTAAGCTAAAACAGACAGGTATTATGGGCGATGCCATAAAACCAACAACTCCATGCGAAAGCTTGCTCATCCCTTAGATGGGAATGCAGGTCAAGGGCGTTTGTGTGAGACGTGGGTGACTGCTCATTCAAAGAGACATATCCCAGATGATCATTTTGGACGAATACTAGTTTTAAAAATGCAAATGCAGTCCTTGGCCGGACTGTAACAAAAAAATGACATGATGGATGAAATCACACTTTTCGTACCTTACATTTTCGTCCTGTTGTGCTTTCTCAGCTTGAAGCCAGTTGTACGGTATGCAGGATCACTTAGGATGCATCATACAAGAGTGTGCAGCCGGGGCGGAGAGGGATATAGTGGTCGTGGATCGCATTATTATGTAAGGGGAACAAGTCGATCTCCTGGAAATGTTTGCCAGTTTCGCGGTGGGACAATGGAGCGAATGGAGGTTGCTGGCTCTGTACGGATGTACGTAAATGTGCGCTCATCCCTTTAAAGTTTAAAGTTTAAACGTGGGTCTCCCGGATTCATTCAAAATGCAGGCGCTGAGCTAAGCTGTGGGCGAATGAAATCGCTTTGAAGCGTCCATTGGCTGATCCAAATACGGCGTTGGCGTTGGCCAACCAGGCCACCGGGCCCGTCCCATACCAAAATCCGACAACATGATCGTCCCAAATGCATAACGCACCCATATCCTGCGCCAAATAGTGGGCTGTGACTTCCCCCCCGGCAGCGTACAACTACTACGTAAGCAGGCAACGCATCACCAGCCGACACACACCCCTCCGCCGCACCAACCCAACATGCGTCCCACTCTCCCCCTCCTCCTCACGACGCTGCTGCTGCTCGCCTCGCTCAGCGCCGCGTGCCGGTGCGCGGGCGCGCCGTCCGTGGAGGCGAGCTACCACTCCGCGAGCACGGCGCACTTTGTGCGCGCGCGCGTCCTCTCCGTGCGCGACCCGTCGGCGCCCTTCGGCGAGCGGCGGTACACGCTGCGCATTCAAGCCAACTACAAGGGGTGCCCGCGGCGCGGGCGGGTGGTGGTGACGACGCGCGTGGGGTCGTCGCTGTGCGGCGCGGTGCTGACCGTCGGCCGATCGTACGTGCTGCCGCTGGGCGCGGCGCCGCGGCCCGCCATCAACTCGTGCCAGTTCATCCGGCGCGTCGGAAGGCTCACGCTGCTGGAGCGCGGCTTTCTCCGCATGCGCGAGCGCTGCTGCCGCGGCAGGTGCAGGTGCCCGCGCTCCGCACCCCGCGTCAACTGCTTCCGCGACCCGTGCAGCCCGCCCGAGACGTGCGCGGTGGCGGGGGCGACGTGCCGCAGCAACTATTGCGGCGGGTGCTTCGCCGAGTGGTTCGACGGGGACGGGCACCCCGTGTGCCGCGCGGGCGGGGAGACATCGAGGTAGGAGGCTAGGTGGATGTACTGTAGTGCGGAGGTACCCTTGGGTACGACAGGCAGCGCCAGCTGGCAGAGAATAAAAGGTTGTACTGTACGGGTGTGTATGCGAGTGGACGCGAGGCACGGGGTGCAAGTGGAAGGTGAAGATTCCGCACCCGGGGGCGTACATCTGCCCCGGGTGACGCGGTGGACTGCCGGGGCGGCGCGGAGTCTCGCGGGCGCGAACTGGCGCGGCAACGCGGCAGCCACGTGGCGTCTTACACCGGGACAGCTGGTCGCCGTGCTCTGCTGGCGCGCACCCATTGGCGTTGGCCAGGTAGCAAACCTCCGCCGCAGACCGGCCCGAGCACCTCGTTTGTGGTCGTGCGTACACGTCGCTCTGGCCTCCCCTTGAGATCACCCCCTCATCACACTTCACTTCCGCCTTCGCACTCTCGCCTTAGCCCTCCGTCCCGCCTCTTAGCCCTCACATTTCATAGCACTGCCACCACACCTCCCTACTTCCCACCCGTACCCACCTCGCCCCACCAGCCCTGCCACAGCTCCACCCCCCACCCACTT